CCCTCATAGCCCCCCCTTCCGATAGTCCAGCATATTTGATAATCCGGCACCCCCTGCGTCCTAAAGGTGCCGGATTATCGGAAGTTTACTATACATGGGTGAACTGTCCAGCTCCATCACTTCTCCTTTTTGGAAAATCTCTACTCCAGGACTAGATTCTCAGTTAGTGCTAACTGATATAGTTGCACTGATTTCAATGGAGCTAAACTGATGTAACTCAGAGGTGAACCTGGTAATACAGTCTTATTATCTGAATGGCATGTGGCATGATCTTCAGCTTTTCTTGTTGTGTCATCTTAGTCAGCCCAGTCATTAAATTGCATTTAATGGGTTTATCTTGTTTATCTCAGCAATATTTTTAATTATTACTGCCTCTTTATCTGAACAGAATTAAACAATCCAAAAAGGAACAGCATAAGAACGTGACTTCTTCGCTTACAAAGACAATTGAAAAGAATATAAACTATACAGAGAAAGGTGTTTATTTCAATATGCAATCCTTGGCAACGGTAAGTCTTTTAAAATAGATATTGGAAGGGATGATAGATGGACCATGCAAAATTTGGATCTGCCATAAATTGTTTCAATTCCTTAGTCTGGTACACCGCAGGATGTAGCAGGGTCCCCAGACAGGATGATAGTATTTTCCGCACCTGGGAACAGCTGTTGTATGGTTATAATGATATTATAACGATGATGATGATGATATTGTAGTGATATTATAGTATGTCTCTAATATTCATGGATCATAGTAACAGCTGGTCACCCTCATGGGCTAAGAAGGAACCCTACTCATAGTGCAGTAGTGTATTTATGGTAAGCTGTGCTAGGATTTATTAGGGTTCTGCCTTATTCTGAAGCAGAATTTTGGAGCTGATCCAAAGTCCACTGAAATCAATGTGAAAACTCCAACTGACCTGCACAGGCTTTGGATCAAGACCTTATTTGTTCAAAAAGTCCACTACTAAGCAAAATATACTGTGGGTGTTCGTGTATGTTGTATTACTATTCCCAAATTTCTTAAATTCTTTCTTTCAGAAGTCTCTTCGCTTTATCAACAGTGCTTTTTCAAAGAATATCAGGAAAATGTTAGCAGTTGCTTATCAGCAACCTTCTAACCACATCTCCAAACCCACAGCCTCGTACTTTCTGAAATCACCCTATGCCAGACTTGGATGGTTGGTGCAGTTTTCTTTCTCCTTTCGCTCTTCATTTGTGAATGTGCTAAACAGCAGCTGAAGTATTACATCTTTGTTCCTTGGAGAGATTTTAAAGGTACAGCTATGGGCCACATTAACCAAAATCCTGGCAGCTGAAGAACAACTTACTTTGGGTTGGCGGTGCTGTGAGAGGTTTGAGATACGGAGCCTTTTTTGACTGAGACCCTGGTTTACAGCTGACCACATCCATACTGATTGAAAGTCATGATCACCAGGCCGGACAATGGTTGCTGCAGGGCCCAAGGCCCTCATTGCCATTACTGTGGTAGTGGCCAGAGACCCAGGCACCTTTGAATTGCTGTTGGAGCTCTGTGCCAGGTACTCAGCATGGCACTAAGGGCTGGGAGGGGCACACTGCATTCCGGGTGGTGTGGAGGGCTGGCTACTTGGCCCTGCCTCTTCCACATGAGGCCCTGCCACACCTTGCTGGAGGCCCTTGGTAGCTGCCAACCCCGCTGAGGATCAGAGTTTGATCCAGAGCAAGAATCTGGGTTCCAGATAACCCTAGTTCAGAACTGGATCCAAACTTTGTGGCTAGCCCTGTCTAATGAACAAGACCAAGACTCTAAATCTGATTATGTACAATTGTTGGGAAAGCTTGGATTCAGATTTGATTTGGATCTGAACAACATGGCTTGGAACCATCTGATGACCATTTAATAGTCTATGTGACATGAATGGATTGTCCCAATTGATGCTAATTGGTGTTCTTGGTAGTATTTTTAGTGGAGAAACCCAAAGCTGCATCAGCATGGAGAATGATACCTACCCTCTCTCTTCTCTAGAAGAGAATCCATCCTCATTATGGCAGTCATACAGTGGAGGAGAGAGATGGAGGAAGTTTACTATGCTGCTAGTCTTGCTATATCTGCTTCGAAGCAGTCTCTAGGGCTTTTCATCTGGCAATTTTCCCAGATATTAAATTAATTTAGTAAATATATGCCAGTTTGTTTTTCTCTATCAGCCTCTGTGATCTCCATCAAGTAACTGAGAGGCTCATTAAACCAAGTCAAATGACCAGAAGTTGTGCGCAGCAGTCTGTTGTTCTCCTTTGTTTCTGTGTTTGAGGCTGCTTGGTGGCTGCCCAGTGCTACAATTCAGTAAATAAGACTTTTTAATGGCTCTCCATGCAGATCACAGCAGTGTTAATTAATGGAAGCTGGACCTCACAGCTCTGATTTGTTTAGTTCAAGAGAATTGTTCTGAGAGTCAAACTTAAATCACTTGGAAAATAACTTTGTAGAGCCTTAGGATTAAGAGGTGGTGAAAGTGGCCAGTTAGCTTTGAAATGTCAGTGGTTCACCAAATATAAACACTGTGGTTATTGGTGCTATGCTTTTGTTTTCTCCTTTGCACACAGGGCAATGACCTCAGGTGACTTAAACCAAGATGGTTCTGAGGATCTAGTGGTTGGAGCACCAGGATACAGCAGATTGGGCCATGTTCAGATAGGAAGGGTGTACATAGTCTACAGTAATCTATCAGGTTTGCCTCCAGTAAACATGGATCTAGACAAGGAAGCGGATCAAGTACTGGAGGGTTGTCAGGTGGGGAATCAAGTCAGACATTTAAAACAATTTTACCCTTTTTTGTGTGTTAAAACATCAGTGCCCTTTTTCCTTTCCTTCACTGATCAATGGCGCCATTAATTTTTTCTCGCGTATACTTTTCAGTGTTTCTGAAATGTCTCTCCTATAAACCAGGATGTTATGTGCATTTAAAGGAAAACAACCCCTGTTATTATAAAAGGTGCATGTGGCTGAGTTAAAGATGATCAGTTTATTCTTCTTTTCACCAGTCAACTTAACACTAACATAAACTGAGACCCTTAACTGACACCAATATGGAGTCCATCCATGTCTTGGGATTTGGAAATGGCTACCAGGCCATCCTGAAAACTGCTCTTTGCTTCTTTCTGCACACACTAGAGCTCTTTATCTTAGTTTTTTTATGGTGCCTCTCTCTGTAGTATCTAAAATAGTACTTAAGCATAAGTTAGAGGAACCACAATTTATGAAGTTGGGTCTTGAGAGCTCAGTGCCTATTTCCCCAATCCTGAGCATGGGGAGGATTGTTTAAGTGCAGTACGTGTTTAGGAAAGGCAGGAATTCTCCCACGTACCTATTCTGGGTATTCTTTGTGGATTCACATCTCCTTAGGATACAAAACAGAACAGGAAGTTGCATCAAAGTAATTAGTTTCTGTTAGGCTCTCTAATAGGGCAGTTTATTAACCATGCAAATGGTTTATGTGAAATGCTGTGCCCGAATGTGACAGAGGGCCATGACTTTGGCTTCATCCTGACCAGTACAGCTAGATGATACACTGAGTCAGATCTATATCATGGTTTGGTGTAAGCATCTTATTAAGAAACTGCAAAACCCATGCACACACTAAGTAGAACTGTTTGTAAAGCAAATGTGTTTGTCATGAGCTGTCTAAGCATCATTTAAATGACAAACAAGATCTGAGAAGAGGATGTAGCAAAACACTGTCATAAAGAGACTGTCATAGCGAGCTGAAATCAAACATAAACCAAACGTAATTTTTTACAAAAAATTCCCCTCTTGCTCTCAAAACAAAAATACCCCACTTTTGCATGAACTCGCTGCAGATATTGGTACTGAACATTTGTACAGTACATCTGCTTATTCAGCTGCTCTTTTAAGAATAAATAATATTGACAGTCTAAGAATTGAGATTGTTTTTTGTCAGTTCTGGATTTTCAGCTATTTCATACGATGTTTGTTCTGCACAATCTTAAAGAGGCAGATGCAAAGATTTTATCTTTATTGTTTTTAAATGTCATTTAGCTGCATGAGAGTAACATGTGATTTCTCAGCCTTCAGGCAGGTTTGGTTCTGCCATAGCAATACTGGACTTCAATGCAGATGGAGTACCAGACATAGCGGTCGGAGCACCTTCGGAAGGATCAAGGGATCTCACTTATACAGTAAGAGCCCTTTATTTAAAACATCTTGTTCCATGTAATAGCACCAAGGGAGAACCTCTCATATAACTCAGTGTGAATAAGGTAGAAGGGGGCTTGCTGGCAGTTCCCATATGGATCTTGTTTTCTGAACTCTGGGATGTGTAATCATTGGGTCCATTGACTTGTTGATAGCTGCGTATCAAACCACCCACGCCCTAGGCATTTCCATGCCTAACTGTTCTAAATCGGAAACAGATTGGTGGCATTGACCTGGTGTAAGGATGAGGAATCTTTCGGGAAATCTGTTTGTGGGTATATGTGAGAAATTGGAGACCTCTTGGCTAAGGTGTACCTAATCTACAATACTGAGGTTAAGTCTTCTTTAGTCTAAGAGGTTTTGGTCTTCAGATCAGCTTCATTAGTGAGATCATCATATGACTGAAGAAACTGAGAGACAGATACTTTTAATCTCATTGGCAATTTATTAACAAGCCAAACAAGATCATACAGGCTACAGGATAGCAAAGGAGAGAGAGATGATACAGAATGCCCAGCATTTGTACTGCTCGCATCATCTTTTTCTGGGAGTCCTGAAGTAGGCAAGCTACTGCTTAATAAGGTGTTAATAGGTGGTCATATTCATGCTGGTGTCTCTCTCAGCACACAGGCAGGGAAACATCTTTTATATCGGGGGTTTTCAAAGCTGGGTCGTGGGTCCATCCGGGCAAGCTGCTTGTGGGCCGCAAGATGCTATGTTTATCTAAGTGTCCATAGGATGGAGCCTCCCATCTCCCATTGGCTGCAGTTTGCTGTTTCCAGCTAAGGGGAGCTGCAGGAAATGGTGTGGGCTTGTCCGATGCTTCCCACAGTTCCCCCTAGTGGGAAACAGCAAACTGCAGTCAATGGGAGCTGCAAGGCTCTGTGCCTATGCACACTTAGATAAACAAAGCGTCTTGCGGCCCACCAGAGGCTTACCTGGGTGGGACTGACACCCAGCTTTGAAAAGCCCTATTTTATATACCATGTTACACTGACTCCCACTGTATCTTATACATTGTCATAAAAGTTTTAGCCCCTTTTCCTTGTCTGAACTTTCACAAATTACTTATGTTGGAGTTCCTGGTTTCTATAGGCTAATTAACTGGGTACATCATATTCATGAGCATTTACGCCAGTCAGCTGCTATATTACTGCTGTCAAACCTTGTAAGTTTCAGTTGAACATTTTACACATACTGTTTAAACATACCTTCTCAAAGTATCAGTAGTGCATGTGGTTTCTCATTTCACGTAAGTCAGATGACTGTCTTATTTACTGCTGTTGCATCTTGTGACTTAAGTAACTGACATGCAAGTGATTTTATGTCAAGCAAAACCGCAGGCCTTCATTAATTATGCTAAGTTGTTTTACATTACAGACCCGGTCAATACTTTTACTTTACCTATACATACACTGCCTATATAGGCCACTCTCACCAAGGGGTTCTGGGACAGTTTTTACAGTGGGGGTGTACAGCTGTTGTACCAAACTGGAAACCTGGTATTTAGTGGAAACCATTTCAAGCCAGGGGGTGCTGAAGACCCCCCACACTTCTAATTCCAGCACCTATGCTTTTACCCACCACTGACAGAGCTAACAGACTGCATCTGATCTGTCCTATATTCTTCCAGGATAATGGCTGCTGTGTTTTACTTGGTTGCTAATATTGCTTTTTTTAAAGTGTCTGAAACAAACTACAGCCCAAATGTTCAAACCCTGATTGCCTCAACTTAGGCATGTTGATCTATGTTTGGGTGCCTAAACAGTTCAGAAATGCACCCAAACAGCCCCCTTTTAAGTCAATGGGTGTTCCAGCTGCTTAGCACTTTTGGAAAATCAGGTGGGGCTTATTTTTAGTTGCCTAAATATGGACTTAAGTGCTTACATCATTAGGCTTCCAAGTTTGGAAAATTTGATACTACCCATCTCTTGTTGCCTAAAATCTGTGCCATTGCATTAAGTTACTGTGAATTGAAGTTATATGAATGCTTTATTTACATTAATATTGCCTATTATCCTTGTTAAGTAACATAATGAAAACTTCCTTACTTGTTGTAACAAGCATGCTGGTTTCCTCCTCAGATCTAGAGCCCCAGATCTAGATCAATTATTGGCCATTGAATTTAGTTCTTAGGTTTGGGGTAGAAGACTCAATATACTGGGAGGGCTCTGATGGTTAGGCTGCATTTCTCTAACTAATGGTCCTTACAGAGTTAATAGATTCTCCAACTTGTAATATTAAGTCCGTATTTGACACTGACATGTGTTTTCAAAATGTTTCCCCTCCACTGTTTAGGGTGCTGTGTATGTATATTTGGGCACTGCAGGAAGAGGCCTGTCATCTTGGCCAAACATTACCATAACTTGCCAGGTACATTTTAAATTGTCCTTCCTTCTAGTAAAAGTTCAGAACCGGGGACTGAAGGAGTGGGGCAGGTCACTGTACCATTTTATTCTGTATTGTCCCATCCCTTCAGACTATTCTCTGGAGGATGCATATGAGATAAGCAAACTAATTTTTAGTTGCACAGGGACCACAGCTGCAGTAGAAAGCAATCGCGGCATAGTTCACGTGACAAGGAAACTGTTGTCTTAAATTTTTTCTGATAGGTGTAATAATAGCTGTGTACACAGCCTTTTTCATGAGGCTTGTGTTAAGATCAGCTGCCCACACTCTGCAGACCTAGACTCTGTGGCTGTGTCTACACTTGAAGTAGGAATAAGAAATCCTCCGGAAAAGGGCTTATTTTCCGGAGAATCGTGTCTAGACTGGCGCTTTTATTCCGGCTTATCCCCAAGCCGGAAAAAAGCGGCAGCCATGTAAATGCAAATGCCGCGGGAGATATTTAAATCCCCCACGGATTTGCAATTCTGAAGTGTCTAATCTGCATCCCTTTTCCGGAAAAGGGGTGCAGTGTAGACACAGCTTGTGGGTTTTTTTCGGAAGAGGTATGCAAATAGTGCTTGTATTTGCATACCACCTTCTTTTTCCTCCTTGGAAGAGGCTTTTCTGCCATTTGGCCCCGTCTACGCAGGGCCAAATGTCGGAACCCTCTCCCCTCTTTCTAAAGCCCCCTTCTTCCTCGTAAAATGAGGTTTATGGGGGCTTTCGAAAGAGAGGTTTCTTTCTGACATTTGGCCCCATGTAGATGAGGCCAAATTGTGGAAAAGCCTCTTCTGGGGGGGAAAAAAACGGAAGAAGGTATGCAAATACAAGTGCTATTTGCATACCTCTTCCGACTTTTTCCTCCCCAGTGTAGCCGTACCCCTAGAGTTGTCCAGAAGCAGAGGTTCAGTTTTACTACCATATACTTTTGGATAGTAGACCAAAAGTCAAATGTCAGGAAGAGGCAGAATGGGGGAAAACAGTGTGTCTACAATGCTACACTCAAGCTACCATTACTGGGGATAATGCTTAAACTACTTTTAAGGATCTGGGGCATTGCTCGTCCCCTATTCTTCAAGAGAAAGGATATCAAAATCAGTCCCTGTATCTAATTTTTCATTTGTAAGAGGCCACAGATAAAAACAAATGCTTTGTTTTACATCTGGCTTGTCTCTGTGTGGAATGTCAGTTGTGGGGAGTGGGAGGAGGAGGGAGCATGTTTTCCAGCAGAGCAAGAAGTGCTAAGAAATGGACTCCCTGTTCTCCAATTGGTTTTTATAAAAAATAAACAACTTGGTTACAAGATGGAAGCATGTTTGATAGGAATATTCAACATTAACTCTTAGAAGGGATTTAAAGCAATGCAACAAAGCAAGGAGACAATTACAATGCTGCCTTCGCCTCTGAGTTTTGATTGAGATATTGCCTCTTGCAGCACACATTCTGTAACCTTGGCTGGTCACTGCTGGCTGCTGATATTAATGGGGATGGAAAGTCTGATCTGGTTGCCGGTTCTCCATATGCACCTGGCGGTGGAAAGCAGAGAGGATTTGTAGTTGCATTTTATTCACACTTTAGCTGGAGTGACAAAGGTGATACTGAATAAATTGACATGTCCATATTTTACATGGCTATATTTGTGTTCTTGCTGTGACACTTTTAATTTGAATCCTTTGTTATGTGAAACCCAAACAACCTATTAATTGTCTCAGATTCTTGGAAGGTTTGTGTGTGCTTTGGAAGTAAAGAAATAAATATGTAAAACTAGTTTCTAGTATTGTATTGCTGTACCTGGATATCTGCTGTCCCAGCTGAAGAAAATTTAAAATTAATTTGCTCCTGTATTTCTGAGGATTTGATGATTGATTAACAAAAGTCAGTCTACTAATGCAGTGATTTTGTCTGTGCCTTGTATGGTAGGTAAACAATTTTGCACATACCTCAGCCTAATTGTATGAGTATTAATTCCAAGGTTAGTGTGTATAGTTCCTAAATCAAGGTAAACAGAACTGTTCTTCATAAGAATGGAGGTAGGGGAATACAGTTCTCTTGTAAACATTTAGACCCTAGATCTGCAAGCACTTGAGCATGTGTATAACTTTACTCATGTGAATAGTAAATGCTATTAAAGTCAATAGTAAGAACTATTTAGTGCTTTCAGAGAACAGAACCTGGCTGTGAAACAGAAATGAATGTCTTGTCAGTATGGAAGAAATATTTAGCAATGAGTGCTGCCAGGCAGTGATAGTTTAATTGTTTCTTTTTTTTCAAATTGACAAGGGCCTGAAAGTATCACAAAAGACCTTATTTATGCCATACTAAGAGCTCCTAAAAGGGGAATTCTGCAAGTGAGCCCTGTAACGAAAGGGTAAGAGTCACACTGGATTATTGTGGGGTGAGAGGTAAGGATGTTAAGAAGTGGGTATCTGACTAATCGTGTAGTTGATAACAATTTGTATTGATTGCATGATTAGTCGATAAGGCTCACGCTGGGTCCTGGACATACCCCTGCTGCACCTCTGCCTCCCCTGCCTTCTCCCCCACCACCACAGAGACAGTGCTGTGAGGAACTGGATTTTAAGCCAGCTCCCCCCAGCACTGGCTCCTGCTCCCCTCCCCCTTACTGCCTCTGTATCAGAGGCAGCAAGAGTAGGGGAAAGCGAGTAGTCAAGTAGTGACTCAACTATCTGATAAGTCTAGATTTATCGGATAGCTGACTACTTGACTAATCACTTATAGCCCTCGTGAGAGCAGAGGTGACCCAGAAAAAGAAACGAGCCCAGAGTTGGAGAAAATGAGAGTGAATATGTAGAGGTGCAAAACTTCATCGGGTGAGGTTTGGTTATTGCATAATCCAAGAGTCTCATTGTTTTCCAACTGGTGTTTGTGGGTGGGGAAAGCTTTTAGTTATCTTGTACTAATTTTGACCTATATCTATATCAAATAAGGATGGAAGCAATTGGGAAATGCTTTTGAATTCACAAAACCTTGTCAGCTGAAGGCTGTGTAAAACCAAAACCCAGGAGTGATTTGAATTAAGATCACATTTATATGAACTCCCTAAGCATTTTGGGTTCTGATAAATGGCTTCAGTTTTTTCTTAGTTCTAGTGAAGACATTTCAGTTCCACTAAAACTAGTTCGTTATCTCCTGTTAGAAGTTGAAGCATCCCATAGGTTGTGTCTGAATGACTTAGAGCCAAGATTTCACTACCAAACACAGCTTTTGAGTACTGCTTTGCCACCAAACATAGTGTATTATGAAATTAGAGGTAACTGTACCATACCATGGGACAAGTAACCAGATCAAACCAGTGTCTATTGCTAGATTGAAATGTGGACTATTCCAGAAACTGATAATGAATATTCTAGCCTCAGTGAACATCCTAACTTAACCCTTGTCTGATTTGATTCTTTCTGGTAGGGCTGATATCAGTAGAGGATGCCAATTGGATGGTGAAGGGGGAAAAGAACCATGCCTGGTTTGGATATTCACTTGCCAGCCATCAACTAGAGAACAAAACCTTGCTGTTGATTGGCAGCCCTACCTGGAAGAGATGTCTTGGGTGCGTTGCCCTTTTATTTGGCTGTTGCACATGTTTGTAACAGTTCCTTTCACAACCTATGGGTTTTTTTTAGTCTTTTAAGATCTACAATAGATCAATATTGTTTCAGTAATTAACTATGTAACTCTATGCTTTGTGGACAATAATATGTCATATTAAGAGAGAACCTCACACCGAGGCTGTGTCTACATTGAAAAAGCTTGGTGATCAAAGTGCTGTCGACATGCAAAAATAACCAAAAGTGAAAACCAGTTTTCCTACCTCCCATTATTGGCATTTCATAGCCACATAGCTAGTACCCTGACAACAGATAAGAACAAAACTATGTGGGTAAGCATCCCATAGCACAATGTTGTGGGAAGGCAGAGCTGATCCCTGTGCTTCTTGGGATTCTTTCCTAGTTCTGTGAGATCTCCATGCTAAGGAATGTCAAAGCAGCACAGCAGCCTCTCCAGCCCTCCCCCTGTAGAAGCAGTTGGCCTGATGCTGTGGCAGAATAGAACATTTCAGTGGTTTGTTCTTTGTTCCCCAAAAGAAGCAGCTGTCAGATACTTCCTGGAGCTTTGAAAGGGTAGGTGTGCATGCTTGCAGGGCAGCAGAGATCTCTCAAAACTCTGAGCAGAGCCATCACAGCAGGCATTGTGGGATACTGAAGGAAGCCAGGTCTCTTGACAAAACATAGTCCACACTGGCTCTTTGTCAACAATAAAAGGCAGGGAAAAGACAGAAGTATATTGCAGGAGTAGAAGTTTTTTTGTCACCAAAACTGGGTGTTTTTCTCCACAAAAGTTGCATTGTAGTGTGTACACTCTGTTTTGTCAACAAAAGGCAGTTCTTGGTGACACAATGTGCCAGTGTAGACAAAGCCTAGTAAATTCAAAATCCTACCTCCTTTTCCCTTCATAGCTGTTTTGAAAAAGCTTTTTTTCCGCTGAAACATGTTCTGCATAAACAATGCTGTAGGTATCTACAAAATATATTATAAGTTACTACTTTGACTGAAAATAATATTGTGTGTTCTAGTCTGGGTAGCTGCATCTCATTGAATACCAAACAGAGTGTTGGAAAGGTGTATGGATACAATCCACCAAGCACACACAGCTGGTTTGCTGTAACTGGAGCCATGGTAGGACCTTTTCTTTAGAAGGCTGGGAGTTCGCAAGGAAGCATTATGTGAAGCAACTAACGTGTTTAATGAATTGACAGGCGAGGGGCAAACTGGGTTCGTCACTGGCCAGTGGCTTTGTGTCTGTGGCTGGAATCCCAAGAGAAGTGTTGGTGGTGGGTGCACCTACGTCTGGTATGTTATTCTGGAAACTGGAACATTTCAGCTATGGATTTTCTATGTCTCGAATGAATGACAACGCTAGTTACAGCAAGTTAGAAAATTGACTTAATAGCTACATTGAATTTATGAATGTGCTGTATGATGGTCTCCCTATAGATGTCCTAAACTGCACAGTATACTTTGCACAGCCCCATCTGCTAGAACCTCAGACTTGTTTAAGGCAGCGGTGGGCAACCTGGGCCATCAGGGTGATCCACTGACAGGCCAGGAAACATTTTGCTGATGTTCACAGGCATGGTCCCTTGCAGCTCCAACTGGCCACGGTTCTTGGCTAATGGGAGCCACAGGAAGCAGTGGCCAGCACGTCCCTGTGGCCCACGCTGCTTTCTGCAACTCCCATTGGTTGAGAACGACAAACTGCAGCCAGTGCAGGGGTCATGCCTGCAGAGGTCATTAGCAGCAAAATGTCGCCCAGCCTGGTTTAGGGCTGCCCACTCCTGGTTTAGGGCAAGATTTTTTTTATACGGAACAGACTTTTGTTAAGTAGTTTTCATTTTGTTCATATATTTGATAACGGACTCTACATGCCTATTCCTGCGAGTGTATACATCTAATTCTGTCACCTTGACTTTTCAGACAGCACATCCAGGATTGCATTCATATCCTCAGTTCTGCACCAAGCTGGAAATGTTCTGATGTATGACTTGACGCATGGTGCCAACCCTTCTTTGCTCAGTACTTTCAGTGGGGACAGGAGGTTCTCTCGCTTTGGAGGAGATGTGCACTTAAGTGACCTGAACAATGATGGACTAGGTAAAACAAAAAGATTTTAGACTGTGTGGAAGAGTTTTACTTGAAGCAAGAATAGACTTGCCTCCTACATTTTCATATAAGCTCAAAACACAACCCGTTTTATAGATGGACATAAACATTCCAAGAAGCTTTATAGCAGAAATCAAACAATTCAGTCATAAATTAAGAGAACTTTTTCACTTTATCCCTATACTATGGACAATCAGTCATTAATGTTCATATTGTTGCATATACAGACCGGTATAAATGTTAGCTCTTGTGTTTTGGTCTAGTACTATTTCATCTTCACAACACATATTCTCTTTGTGATTACTTACAGATGAAATTATTGTGACATCTCCTCTGCGAATGGAAGACATCACATCTGTACTATTTGGAGGGGAGGCTGGACGTGTTTACATCTATAATGGAAACGAGACTACCTTAGGTCATGTGACAGACAACTGCAAATCATGGATTTCTCCTTGTCCTGAAGACTGGGTAAGAAAAGAGTAAAACTAGGAGACAACATAATTACACTGCTGCAAATCCACGGATATCTGCAGCTCATTTTTGCACACCCAGATGTCGCTAGTAAGCTTTGTACCTGTGCAGGGCTCTAAACATAATGACAATGAATTGTGTCCATTGAAAAGAAAATAATGGACTAATACCTGAAGTTTAGTTTAAGTAAAAACTCCATCTTGTTGCCTTTATCACACAGAAACTTACTCAGGTTCTGAAATCCATGTAATTTTTGTCTGTTTGTGAGCAACTTTGCATAGAGTTCTGCAATATGGGAGCAAGGCAGTTTTAATGCATGTCTTTAGCCTGAAAGTGAAATACATTGTAAGAAGGTGGTTCTACTAATGGTCCCTCCACTTCTTTCTTTTGTTTCAGGCACAATATGTACTAATTTCTCCTGAAGTGAGTAACCAGAAAATCAATGGCCAAGAGTATTAAAAAAAAAAAAAAAACTTTTAAATTAACCTTCTCAGAGCATAATGAAGAATCTCATTTTACAGGAAGGATCAAGATTTGGGAGCGCTATCGTCACTGTGAAATCTCAAGGAAAGGTGAGAGAAATGAATTAATGACTCGTCTGCCAGTTTGTTTCTTGCCAACACTCGTCTGTGTCATTTGCATTTACTACTTAGCGCCTTTACATAGCATCATTCCTCTGCTGATCTCAAAGTGCTTTTCAGAAATTAATCAAGCTTCCCTATTAAGTCACCCTTTGGGCCAATATTTAACCCCTTTTTATAGGTGGGTAAAGTGAGGCAAAGAGGCCATTGCTATCTCAATATGGGCAATGGAAATTAGCTCTTAAAAAATTTGCCCCAAGTCAGTTGCAGGCTTGACTCTGTCTTGTGTTTTTACCACTAGACTATACTCTAAGGCTACGTCTACACTGCAGGGTTTTTGCACAAGAAGTCTTTTGAGGAAGAGTTCTTATGCAAAAACTTCTTGCGCAAAAGCATGTCCACACCTGCACGGATGCGCTGATTGCCATTCACTGCTTTTTCGGATAGGCTCTATTTGCACAAGAAACCCCAGCAGAGCATCCACACATGCCTTTTTGCACAACAGCTGTAGTGCAAAAAGGAGTTATGCCTCGTAGAAGGAGGTTTACCTACATCGCAAAAAGCCTTCTTCCATTTTACTGTCAATTTACTTGCGCAAAAGCGTGCTTGAGGTGTGAACGCTCCACGGGGTTTTGCGCAAAAACGGCTATTTTTGTGTAAAAACCTTGTAGTGTAGACGTAGCCTAAGGGTGCATCTATACTGCACCATAGCTTGAAATAAGATACAAAATGTGCTTAGCTCAAATTGTGTATCTTTTTTTCAATCTTATTTCAAAATAAGTAATTTTATAATTTCAAAATAACCCGCTATTCCAAAATGGCCCTTACTCCCTGTGGAATGACGTTTACAGGAACGTTGGAATAGCGAGCTCATTATATTTCAAAATAACGGGCTTGCTGTGAAGATGCAGGATAGCTATTTTGGGATACTCCAGTTTCCCAAAGTGGTGTTGCAGCATAGACATAGCCTAACAGCCTACGCTCAGTATTTATGTAGTCTTGCATTTTAGTACAGGTTTTTGGTAGCAAAAGCCATATGCTTAGTTCTTGCCAAACATTAAAGAAGGCCCAGTTCTTGCCCTGATGAGCTTGGATATGCCTCACTTCTCTCTGGATGAAGATATGGGCCTTTTGGAGGGAGACACAATCTCTGCCTACATGCCTCTGACCCAATATGTGTTTGTTTTTCGTTTGCCTTTACTCTGAGTTGGTCATGTGAATAGACTTCAGGACTTTATGTTCTTGCCCATTTTCTCTCCTTGTCCGTAATCAGTTGAGGAGATGATTGCTTATCTCTGCAGTGGTCCTTACTTAAATGTTGGTTAACGTCACACAGCCAAACAGCCTTTAGGAAAAGTAGCTGGAATCTTAATTGCTTTCAGCCTAAAAGAAGGGGGCATTTCTCATGACAAACCCCTTATGAAGCAAGCACCATTTCTGGCTGCCATGGTATTGATTAGAGAAGTTGGTCTACAAGCAAGTGGTTCCCTTTTCTTTTTCAGGCCTTGTGTGTACTAGAAAGGGTTTACTCCCTTAATAAATATGCTATAATACCAGCTATAGGACTGGTCTGTGGTAGGGCTTTCAGCTGGGACTAGCTATATTGATTGGGGGCAGGAGCGTGTGATTCTTTTGTCTTGTTGCTTCTTGATCCTCCTGATACAGTTATGCCAGCAAAGCCCCCTTAGAGTTGAATTTTGTTAACCTCTGTTTTGTATCTTTGCAGAGAGAAGTTGTAGTAGCGGCTGAGAGAAGTTCGGTGAAAGCTAGACTTAGCGGAAGGCTTTTTATGTATACCCTTTAACGTTCTTTGCTGGGTTTGGGTACAAGTCTGTTTTCTGTGGTGGACCCCTCCTCCCAATATCTATGTTGTTCTCCCTCACTCCTACCTGTGCCATGCTAACAAACTAGATGCTCAAACAGGATGTAGCTATTGGGTTTGTTTGTAAAAAGAATAGAGAATACTAACTGTCATGGTCCATCTGTACAGCTTTAGAGTTGCAAGCCAACAAAAAAAATCCTCTATTCAAGGAAGTCAGATGGCTAAGTAACCCCTCCATAGGTGAAGTAGCATGAAGAGAACCAAACCAACCATTATCAACCTAGCATCACTTTAGGCAACTTATGAGGCAGGCTGGTTTCAGCAGATTTTTGGCTACGTAAGGAGTAGTGCAGCTCTCCTAATTTACACACTTAAATAAGTGCACATGTACAAACACTTTTAATTCTGTTGTCATATTCCTGCCGATCAGAATCCCCCATATACTTCCTCTCTTCTATCACGTACATTTCTAATGCAGCCAACAAGCTCTCCAGTCAGCACCCATTGCTCTTCAGCTCACCCACTTATCATCTAGACACAGTAACAGCATGGGTCAGACATCCTGGTCCAGAGCTGGTACGAAGGGGGTGCAGAGGTAACTAAGTTCATCTTTGTACCACACTCATTCCTTGCTTCCAGCAGCCTTATATTGGCTGATAAGTGCCCCCAAGTAACTAAACCAAATCTAAGGACCAACATAGTGGTGCCGTGAGCTACAACTTTTATGCAAGCAGAAAGGATAAAAACTTAGCACAGGACTATCTGCACAATAAATGCAATCCTCTTGTATTAGGGCAATGCCCTCTGGGTTAGACAGACTGCATTGCAGTGATCTGCCATCAGTGTTGCACTAAGTGGCTCTGCTGTACCAGATCATCTGTTGTCCTGCTACCTTCTATGGAAGACTTTGCCTATTATCTCATAACCTTGTGTTTTATTTTCCAACTGCAGCCCAGAAACCACCAGTCCTGAAGCTGAAATATAATCCCGTCCATCTGGGACTAGACATTTTTTGTACTGTCTATATTCCAGTGGATTTTGGTTGAGCAAAAAAAAAAAAAAAAAAGGCTGGCTGGAATATTTTGTTGCGGCCCTTTAATTTAAAGCACCGGTCCACTCCCCTGCCATTCTCACTGCTTCTGTCGGGCACCAAGTCAGGAAAACAAAATGGCAGCTGGCCCAGCGTTGTCACTCACCACGAACACAGCCCAAGGTTTGCACACCGCTGCTATATTCAAACACCTGATACAAGTGGGAGATTCCAATTAGTGCAACAGTCCACATGGCCATTTTTGTCCTAGCCCCTCTACACAGCTCCTCATTTACTATCAGAGAGGACGAAGTAGGATACATGTCTAGAATGTTACATTGATATTGGGTGTTGACTTCACTACAGTTGAAGTTGTGCTATAAATGGATGGTGGGCTAACAGCAGCTGAGTGGTTCAGAGCAGGCCTGGGGCATCCCTAAGACTAGCACATGTCTTAGGGATGCCCCAGGGCAGGTGCATGTTAAGGAACTCTGGCTTCAAGGGGAAGGGAAGAGAAAGGCAAACTGTGCCTGTCTGGAGAAATTCTTTGCAGTTCATTAACTAGGAGCTCAAGGTTGAATTCCACTGGGGATTGTTCCTTACATTTTTATGTAGAACTCAGTGGCTATGGTAAATGTAAAGCTCTGCTCTTATTGTTAATTGTATTATGTGCTTGACTCATAAGTATTGTGGTTTTGAAGGGGTAGGTTAATTCTGAGTGTGTGTATCCATACACAATTAAACGACATACTTAAACAACAGTGTATGAACTCCTTGTTTGTGGGCTAGGTCTGCAAGCATTGGTGAGTATATATGTGCGGAGGAATCAGAAGTTATAACACCATGAAATTTTTTGTGTGATACAAGCAATTATCAAAGTATTGGAGAATTTTAAACCGTCATCCTCCTCTTTGGAAAATACAGATAAATCAAGATCTTTCCTACTTTTAGGAAGCAGTTTTAAAGACTCTTCCAGCTCTTGATAATTCTGGCTTTAAAACAGAAGATTAAGATCTGAATTTTAGATGTATGCTGTTTTTAAAACAGCATAATTTACCATGGCATCCATACTGGACATAATCATTTTAACCTCTGTAAACAATGTCATAAAAATCAACACTAGCAAGAACCCAGTATCTGGACAGCATAAATGAAAAGATAGGGTAGAAGAGTGAGGAGGAGAAGGTATTTGAACAAAGGCTCTGTGTAAAAAAAGTAGGAAGAAAGCATGTTGTATTGAATATTACACCTAGAAGCGGTTTGGAATTTGTTTGAATAAAATAAGGAACAAAAATGACACCCACACTTTAGGGTTATTACTCTTCCTCCCCAACTGCCTGTAAAAATGCTCTCTGGATAAGTGATAGAAGTCAAGGAGTAGTGAGAGGCTAAAAAGCATTAGGGAGCATGGTGTGAACACAGTGCACTTCCCTTCTCCCCAGGGCCAATATTTTCACTTACTCCTTCTTGACTCTTGCTCTTTTCACCTTTCGTCCTGAACCATACTGTCTGTGCCCCCTTTTGAAAGCTCATCCCAGTCTCAACAAGCCTGATCAAAGCAGTCAGGTGTAGGCGAGCCCAAATGATTTTAGGAGGCAGACTAACAAGCTGGGCATTTCTTTATTTAGGGTTTTCACCCTCAACGCTAGAAAATATTCAGCTTTCTTTTGGCAAACTGTATTGTAAAGAAAACAACTGACATCCCAAATGATTTTAGGAGGCAGACTAACAAGCTGGGCATTACTTTATTTAGGGTTTTCACCCTCAATACTAGAAAATACTCGGCTTTTTTTTGGCAAACTGTGTTGTAAAGAAAACAACTGACACTTATCCATGCTGAACCAATTTCTTTTTCTGTTAAGTCAGCAAAACCAAAGCAGTCAATTTGCCACATGTGAAGATAAAACCAGCTGGCACTTTGAGAGTTCTGAGTATTACAAATGAAGTGCAGATTGATCAACTACACTTAAGGAGTCTATCAGCTGAGAGTGAGGTTTACAGATCTGGTTCAGTGACAATTCCACTTAAACCCTTTTCAACCATCATAGGCTTCAGTTTCTCACTCCTGAGGTCAGAATTATGTTACCATACATACATTTCACAGATAGAATGAGCTAGGTATGAAACTTCCAATGGTTTTCTGGACTTAGGTAACTCCCATGATATAGATATAGCCCTGTAAAAGAACTAGAGGTCTTATTTTAACTCATTGAAATACAGGTGAAAGGAGTCTAAACAATGCCCTGCAGCTGCAGAGAAAAATACAGCGTGGGAAGCAACAATGCAAGCTTTTCCAATGGCCCTGCCAATGTATTTCAAAACCTGAAGCAATCATTTCCTGACTCAGAAGATCAGTATCCATGCACCTTCACTCATTGCCCTTTCTGAGTATGCCCTCATTAGTCCTCAACTTCATGGGTGTGTGTTTGTATTTTGTGAACACTTCCCCCATTAGGAGCTGGATCAAGACAAAACTGCACCTTCACTCATTGCCCTTTCTGAGTATGCCCTCATTAGTCCTCAACTTCATGGGTGTTTGTTTGTATTTTGTGAACACTTCCCTCATTAGGAGCTGGATCAAGACCAAACCACTTCCTAAAGGTCACTCAACAAGCAGTAGATAGTAATTACTTAGCCACCGGGGATTTCAGCTGCCATCCAGTCCCCTACTACCTTTTTATAAAGTAGAATATACAGACAGAACAGTGCATAATCCTGTAAGATGCTACCCTGTGAAAGCATGAGGGTGCACAAAGTTAAATCTGTTAGTTGATAATTAACACTAGAAACCACACAAGATTTTACTTTGAAAAGACAGCAGGCTTGCAGAGGTATAACAAGTTCTAAACTCTTTGATTTCCATTTTCTATTCACCTAAGTACTTAATTATAGTTTTGTTGCTACAGTAATGAACTTTTCAGCCTGGCATCTGGGTAATAGTTTACACAATGTTTAAGTTGCTAGCTAAAGAGCTACCTGACTGTACTTGGCACAGGTGTAAGAGTTCTCATTCTAATCTAGACGGGTTTACAGACAGTTTGCACAGTGGGGTAATTAAGTCCTTTAGAGAGACAAATAGCAGGTATTTAACTCTCTTCCACCACCCTAGAAAACAAATCAACACTTTTTCGATAGTCAAACCTGATCTTTGTACCCCTTACTTTTTTAATTTTGCTACTACCTCCATTCCTCTGAGGTGCTGATAGATTTCATCCCGAAACTTGACCCTAATAAAACCAGCTGCAAGACTGCTGCAGTATGCGTCATGATCTGTGTCTTTTATGTCAAGAGATGAATGGGAACACATCAGGTCAGGGAAAAAGTTAATAATTTCAGAAAAAGTCTGAAAAGGTGAGCACTGGACATTCAAAACTTGTTAATATTTCATGCAACAGAAATGAAGCAGTTTTATATATCTGTTGTTTTGTCTGTGCGGACTTAGTGATCATATTCTCCAAGAAATAGGAGTTTGATTCCTGCTTCTGGTATCCTATTAATGGAACTCTGACAAACTAAAAAAAGGGGGGGGAAGGGAACCCCAACCCTACATTAAAACAAAAAGCCGGAAGCTTGGCTCTTATCTCCATCTCTCTGCTCTTGAATGAATAACCTGATGTTCAAAAATCAGTTCCTTCTGAGGACAAATATAGACATTTAAAACAAACACACCATCTCTGGCACGACTGCCCTAAGCTGAAATCTTGTCAATAACTAATACTGAGGACAAATATAGACATTTAAAACACACACACCATCTTTGGCACGACTGCCCTAGGCTGAAATCTTGTCAATAACTAATGAAGGCTGGGCCTGAGCAGTCCTTGGATGGAAAATCCAATCGGTAAGAGCCTGAAATTGCAAGCTGTGTAGTCGTCCAGTGAAGTCTTCTAGTGTAACACATGAAAATAAGGAACCGACATAAATCTTCTCTCCGTATATACTGCCTTTTGTGCCATTAAAATATCAACTCTAAACAAATACTTGTGCATAAAATATACATTGACATTCTAGGAATTTAAAAATTCTTAATATTTACTATAGGAAAACAAGTGTGCAGTTCACCAAGTAACAAAAAAGGCCAGATGCAATCTCCTCTTCTATCGATTTGTCAGCGTACTTCTGCTTGAACCAAAAGCTTCTGTTTTAAAGTCATTTTTTATTTCAATTCTTCCAGCTGTTGGATGAGTTTTTTTCAGTAATGTGGGTACCTAGGCAAGTCACACAATAGCCAAAGATTATTTTAAAAAATAATGTCATGGAGTATACAAATGCCTGCCAGTTCTCAGTGAGCCTCCTTTGAAGTCTTATCAAGCTTTACCAGGGGTGGGAAACTTTTTTTGGGTTGGGGGCCACTGACCACATAAAAATCGAGAGACAAAACAAAGCCCCCCCCCCCCCCCCACCAAACCCTCACTGACATAACCTGACCGAGAAGGAGAAAGACACTCCCCACATTCTCTTCATACACCAGAGTCTAGTGGGCCTAGGCTAGTAGATTGTGTGTGCTCCAGCCCAACATCAGGGCTGCAGTGCTAGCACAGGTTCCCCAGTGCTGGGGAATGGGGGAGCCCTGAGCCTCCTGGGCCAGATCCAGGCAAGCCAGAGGCCGCATCTGGCCCCTGGGCCTTAGGTTCCTTACCTCTGCTTTAAAAATAGATTTTGGAGTGCATCTGAGGAACAGCAGCAAGTATCTGAAGGGTCAGACTATTCCCCAGGCACCTGTACAACTGCCAACCTCTCTTCTTCTTTGAGCTTTAGTCTTTTGTTCTTATTCTCCTCCCCTCCCCCCGCCATGATCTTTTCTATCATGGACTTGTTTGTTTATAACTCCCTCTCTCCAGCACCAAGCTACCTCCAGGTGTTGAGGGTAGGGAGAAGTGAATGGCGGGTCAGGTGGGGGGAGTGGAACAGCAGTCAGGCTGAGAACCTTGGAAACAGAGAAAGGATGCTTATGGCCATGTACATGGGAGCAGCTCCTGTTGCACTGAGGACAGCTTTCAAGGGATTGCATGCCAGATCACTTCTGGCAGCAGAAAATTCTTTAAGCAGTCTTTCTTAGATCACACAACTTTCCTTTGCCGGACAGCTTTCAAGGGATTGCATGCCAGAGCACTTCTGGCAGCAGCAAATTCTTGAAGCAGTCTTTCTTAGATCACAACTTTCCTTTGCCATCCTGAGATCCCTCTGCCAAGCCTGCCTAAGGGAAGACCACCCTCCCAATTTGTTGGCGTGATTATAACCAATTACTTCCATAAAAGTGGAAGTCATGTCCCAGCCAACCACCCTTGATCACATCCATTACAAATTCTGTAGCATACACCAAACACAGGAAGTAGCAGTGGTCCGGTGCACGTGGAACACAGTAGACCTCTTTAGCCAGCCATACGTACATGGGGAGGTAGTGAAGGTTCTAGATGCCGTCCAAGGAATGAAAGCAAACGTCGCCAGATAAGTCCACTTCCCAAAAACATAATTCCTGTCACCAGCCAAAATGCTCTGTGGTCCTAGCAATGGAAACAAATAGCCATTAATCACCCAGCTCTTTCTGTGGAGGAAGGATCCTCAGTGGATTCCCTCCCACACCTCTAATTGAACCTTTCATTCCCTGCATAGGCTCTACAGTATAGTGAATTTCTTTGGCCGGAGAAGGATGGCTGAGACTCTCTGAAGTCCATCAACACCACACTCTAGCTTAAAGAGTTACTGCAAGGCAAAGTGACCACTACCACCCCAGCCCATGCATTCTTCCTTTTAAAGTTAGCTCTTGTTTTTACCAAGAATTTAGGGATTTCCGCCTCAGTTTTTTTTGATGGCGGTCACTCTAAGCGTAATTATTTAATTTACAATGAAGTCATGGCTCCACCATGAAATCTAGAAAATTCTTTAACCCATTTACACCTTTGTATATGGCAAAGATTCTAATACAAATTCAATAACCTTTCAGAAGTATGAATGGCTGAACATCACCATACCTATGTCAGCCATTAAACACAAGTACAGTCCTGTCCTTTCTTTTCCTTCTGGAGTACTAACTTTTCCTGGTCATCCAAAAAGATGTCCTGCAGCAGTAGCATAACTGAACAAGCCAGGAAATAATTCACAAACGAAAGTCATTGCACTAAAACTGGACTCGGTGGGCCTAATTCTCTCACTATAAACCACTATAAATATGGAGTCTTACCAGTGAAAAGTATTAGTATTAGACTTCACAGAAAACCTGGGGTAAGTCAGGTACATTGATACCTGTATTGTAGGTTAGTAGTTAAAGCAGCATTGGTTCTCACCTCTTCAAAGGAGGATTCCAAGTTCATACCAAAGGCTACTCCAATCAGTCCAAAGAGAGAGAGAGAAAAAGTACCCATAGTCAGCTGTAAGTTTAGTCTCATCATCACATTACGGTGGCTGAAGAGGGGAGAAATATTTAGGAGGTGAGTACAGCTGTTCACTTGCTGTCTATTAGTAAAGTCTTATGCAGCACGCACGACACCAGAACAGTTGACTCTCACCAGTATTAGGCAACACAGAAACAAAAGCAAGTGTATCAGGCATTTTTTCCTCCAAAGAGAGGTGCAGCAGTGCACCTCTCAGGGAGCAGATTCTGCTTTGCAATTAGCAGGATTTATGACATCTGTCACTCCTGTTATAAGTATATGTTGTAAAGTAACCATAAAAGTTTATGGAAACTTACATGTTTTCTTACCTTTAACTATAGAAATTTATAAATAATTATTTAAAAGAAATATTTTTTGTTACTTTGCAAATATAGTAGAGAGTGAGAAAACGCTAAGGACTGGAAACCAGAGTATACTTTGGTGCATTCCACATCCACACACTTCTCAATTCTTGCTGGCCTCCTTATGGAGTGTCCACCCTGAATGCTTCTAGAGGTAACTCTCCATTTAAGGAGGAGGAGAGAATATCATACTCTGCTTTTCAATGGTGGCTTAGACACTTCAAGATGCTAAGACTGTTATTTTTAAATACAGAAAACCTTTTATCTACAATAGTTTAATCTTAATAAAGCTAAATACTTGATGCAAGGTAAGCTGATTATTCTACCATCAAACTTCGTGCGGATGCAACATTTATTTGCTAGAAAATGTGATCCAGAAAAACTGAGGGCATGCTCTTGAAGGCATGACATGAACACTTAAATGCAGCCTCCATTTAAAAATCCATTCAAGTTTCAGTTTTGCTGTATTACATAGCAATTCTTCATAAATAAGTTATATTTTCCCCATGAACATCTGGGTATTTCCTTTAACTATTACATCCCCAGAACCACAGGGAATAAAAGTCTCCTAGTTTTTGTTCCCAATGATATTAAAGAGCAAGTAGGGGGCTGTGCCCCCAGCTCACTAGGCTCACCAACCCCCCTCTCTGGAGGTAGGTGTTTGGCCAGGGGGGCAAGGGGCAGGAGCAGCCTGGGGGTAGGTGTCTCGCCAGCGGGGAGCAGGCAGGAGCAGCCTGGAGGTGCCGGATCTTGGTGGAAGGAGTTAGTGAGAGGGCTTGAGAGTACAGGGTCTCGGTGGAGGGGATGTGTGAGGGGACTGGGTGTATGAGGTCTCAGTAGGGTGATGAGTGAGAGGGCTCGGGGTACAGGGTCTCGGCTTGGGGGGTGTATGAGATAGAGGGCTGGGGGGTGTGGGATCTCGGTGAAGCGTGTGTGAGAGCGGGCTGGGGGTGTGGCTCCCATACCCCACATCCCCAGAGCACGGAGGAAGGGTGAAGGAGGAGGCTGCTGTGCACAGCTGAGGGCGGAGGTGGGATGTAGAGTGACGTGATGATGTCACTCTATTGCCCTGCAGGAATTTTATATAGATACAGACAGACAGAGAGATGACTAATCAAGAGGCATTTCAATATTTTAGTAAAGTTATTAAGGTGTTGTGTATCAATCCAGTACATTCAACAGGGAAGCAGGAGCAACTTCCAAGTGTATGAGTCCATGAATATCAGAACTCACATAGATGTCTGCGCTCAGTCTAATTCTGAAAAGGGTGAAACAGCACTAATTTCTGTAAAGTTTCTGACAATATAAAAAATAGTAAATGTCATGAGGATAAGTAACCTGTCCAGGTTGATGAAGATGATACTTTCGGAATCATCAATCAATACTCTGAGCTCACGGGCTTCATTAGCAAGATCTTCAGTTTGTCGGTAATAATTCTCCAGCAGCAGCTCCATTTCCTCTGCATGGTCAATTCCAGACATGCTCTTCTCACTGTGAGCAACAATGTGTATTTTCTAGTTAGGTGCCAGCAATGCACTTAACAACTTGTTTGCATCGTTTGAAACATGGGCCCAGAATGAAATAAGGAGGAAAAAACTCTCTACAAGTCCTGTGTGAAAACAATGCTGCAAAATCCAGTTAGGCACAAGAGGAAATTCTGCTGGTACAAACAGTGTTATGGAAAAGAATGTATGTGCTTTTCCAATGCCTATTAGCTGAATGGCAGAGAAAGGCAATTACTTTGGTCAGTATCATAGGTAACTTTTGCCTTGCTATAAACACACACAGGAAGGCTACGTCTAGACTGGCCACATAAGACGGAATAGGCATGCAAAGCAGGCAAGTCAGAATAGGGAAATCCGCGGGGGATTTAAATATCCCCCGCGGGATTTAAATAAACATGGCCGCCGCTTTTTTTCCGGCTTGGGGAAAAGCCGGAAAAGAGCATCTAGACTGGCGCAATCCTCCGGAATAAAGCCCTTTTCTGGAGGATCTCTTATTCCTACTTGCAAGTATTTAAATCCCCCGTGGATTTCCCTATTCTGACTTGCCTGCTTTGCATGCCTATTCCGTCTTATGTGGCCAGTCTAGACGTAGCCGCAATGTATAAATACTAGTTTCCTGCATCACACTGCTGTTTTAAAGGGGAATGGTTAATTTTCTGATGCCCTCAAGTGGTGGAACTTGACAGTGATGTTGCAACACTCCCCTCTGTTGAGATCTATGTTGCATAAATATTGAAATCTATTTGGCACTTACATGTGTTTTTACCTGCACAGTGACAGTAACCAAAGCATTCTCAGTCCTACTGCGGATGAATCACAGGTACCTGGTAGCATCCACAAGGCCCTGAGCACCTAGCCATTCACCTTCTCTAGAACACAGGCCTATATGTTTCTAGAGTTATTTTTAGAGCTTTCTTTTGACTAGGCAAACAGTGAGGGTTTGAGTGTTATAATGGCCCTCTCGTATTTTTAAGATATCAAGGAGAACTTGGAATTAACTCTCATCCCTCTTTTCACACAGTGGCATGACCTTAACAGCATTATTTGCAAGGAGGGACTGGATACTAGGGATGTTAACCAGTAAGCATCACCCATTAAAATGAAGCTTACAGGTTCTGGTTACCTGGTGGAGGCTGGAGCAGCTTCCCGGCTGTTGTGGGCAGGGGGGCTGCTCCAGCCTCATGGGGTCCGCCACAGATAGAAGCTGCTCTGGGTGTCCAGAAAACCCCGTCTGCAGCGGCCTGTGCACATCGCAAGCAGAGGCTACTCCAGGTGGGCAGGAAACTTCACGTTTAACCAGTTAACCAATTAAATGGGATTTTACATCTCTAATGGATATCCTCCAATGGCTCCTGTGGATACTGTTGAACTTGCTTACCTTATCAAGGAGCAATTTAAATAAATCTCTCTGAAACTGCTCTCTCATAAACTCATCTCCAGACTCATGCAGCTGAGGTAATTAGACCCACTAGAAGGGGTGGGATAAAAGGACCCTAGTCTCTATCCTGAAGAGAGGGTCCCTTTGAAGCAGGCTATCCTCTTCAGAACCTTCCAAACCTAGAGATTTCAGTTGTATATTATGGGGCATAGGTGGGAGGTCTTATAAGTTGTCAGTGCTAGCTGGCTTGAGGGTCAATGCCTTTACATTCCTCTATAGCCACAGAAAAAGACGACTGAACAATAGACCCAAAAGATTTAAAAAGTAGCTTTCCAACATCTTTGCTTTTCATGCAATTTATCTCTACCTCCTTCCACCACCTCTCCATGAAAGGCTCCTCCTTTCATACAAGTCAGTGACATTTGGCTGCATCTCCACATAAAGATACAATTAACAAAGCTTTCTGTCTACAAGCACCAATGCTGGGGTCAGTGTGTGAAAGCACCCCTCATGACTGACTCCCTCCATGCCTTCTCAGGTACACTTCTTGACTTCACACATCACGTCCCCTCATGCCCCAAACCGTAGTTTGGATAATGATGGTCTACTTAGATTTGCAGCCAGGCAGGGAATTATACCACATGCTTGGTGCTGTAAAGCAATGCTAACTTGCCATGAAATGTGGGATGTAACTGTCATTTGACAGTACAGTAAAACTCCAATTGTCCGGCATCCAGTAGTCAGGCACTCCCAATAGTCTGGCACCAAATGGAACCTGGAAGTGCTCCGGCCAACTGGACAATTGGAGCTGCTCTGCACCGCTTCCTCAAGTTCGCTGCTGCTGCTGCTGAAAATGACCAGCTGCGGACTTGGGGAAGTGGTGCAGAGCAGAGCAGATGGGGTGCTGCTGGGTTGGTCCCCCAGCGCATCCCGGCAGCACCCCAGCTGCTCCGCTCTGTGCTGCTTCTCCAAGTCCTCCACTGCCGCTGCTGAAACTGACGAGAGGCAGACTTGGGGAAGCTGAAGAACAGAGCAGCTGGGGTGCTGCTGGGCACCGAGCAGGGGGGTGAGGGCGGCGCTGCGGGACCAACCTGGCAGGCCCCCCG